AGTTCTATTTTCTTTGAGTTTTTGTTGATTATGGCTATGTTAAATGTGAATATTGATGTTGAGATTGAAATGAGTAGCTAATTCCTTAGCTAGAGTTAAGGGATAATCATTCCGGTTTGTTCTCGTTTATGTGCATGACGATAACTCAATCTCAACGAGTTGTTTTAATTATGAATTGATAAATTAAACTTGGTAAATTTTTATAACCTAAGAGTGACACTTAGGTTAATTTGTTGATATAATCAAAGAGTGACACTTTGATTTGTGATTGAAATATGATTTGTTAAGTTAGAATTTGTTAATTCTACGAATTGCGACTTTTAGAACCAAAAGGGGAGGAGTCGTATAAATAATCGATTTGAAAACCGATAGGAGAGGAATTGATAGAACTTGGCTAGTTTGGAGTAGACATGTTCGGAGATGTATTGTCTATTTGTTAATTGTTTCGTTAATTTGCTCGTTTATGTTTTTCCATATATTACGAGAGTTAGTATGGTTGAACTGCTAAATGAGTTAATTAGTCGAGCCTTTTAACCGAGTTATTGATTGCCTTTAAATATGTGTAAAACCGGAAGCGATTATTCCCGATTCCCTAGCATCTTTATCTTTGTATCGTTTATATTTTTAGATAGATTATTGTTTTATGTTATTTATTAGTTAATATTTTAGTTAATCATTTTCCAACCCTATCATGATTAGAATGTGTAGGATTTATTTTGCTTTTATGTGTTATCAACACCAATTCTAGATTCCGAACAATCTTCCTCGAGAGATCGACCCGAGAAAAGGAATCATTTGATTCGGTTCTCGGTAAAATAAAAATAATTTGTACACAACAGAGCGCCGTGTAGCATTGGTCGCGACACGTTTCCGGGGTCGTGCAGCAGTTTGGTGGGTGAATCTTAGCAGCCTGCGGCATCGTCAAGGGAAACAACCACTTTCTTCGTGGATTAAATTTTGCGAGCTTGTAGAGCGTGAGTTTGTACCCTTCAACTTCGATAGTCTTGTTTATCAACAGCTGCAAAATTTACGCCAAGGGACTCGCTCGGTGAATGAATACACGACGGAGTTCCATCGCCTTTTAACTCGTGTCGACTTGCACGAGACAAGGAATCAGCTGGTTTCACGTTATGTGGGTGGTTTGCGTACGGCGATCCGTGATATGCTGAACATGTTTTGTCCCGAGTCAGTGTCGGATGCTCATCAACGAGCCCTTCTCATTGAGGTCCAAATGGCACAAAAACCGGGGCAGCTCGGGTCTTCTTCTTCGCGCGCGGGAGCTGCAACGGGAGTTGGCCCTCAATTCGCTCGTCCTGGACCGGCCACAGGTGGCGGGCTTGGCAGCAGCTCCGCAGGTGGACGTCTGTCAGCCTCCGGCAAGAACCCGCAGCGGATCGGCGGGATGGGAGGACCGCAGCAGTCGGCGGTTGCTGCAAGGACGGTCGTCGGGTTGCGTTGTTTCGGGTGCGGCGAGGTCGGGCACCGCCAATCGGTATGCCCGCGAGGTAACGGTACTCGAGCATTGTTTTAAGGTGAGATGGCTGATTTCTCTTACGGTGGAGACTATGAAGGGCCGCCGACATATGATACGGAGGCGGGAGAGGTGGAGGAACTCGTACCCGGCGATGTGGGCACAACCTTGGTCCTTCGGCGAGCCTGCTTGGCGCCATGTAGTGTGGATTCACCGGTGGAGCGACATCATTTGTTTGAGTCCACGTGTATAGTCGGTGAAAAGGTTTGTCGATTTATTATCGACTCGGGTTCCTGTGAGAATGTCATCGCTCAAGAGGCCGTGGAAAAATTACATCTGTCTACTATTCCACATCTTCAGCCATATACACTTGCGTGGATTCAACGGGGGAATGCGATCACTGTTGACCGCCGTGTGTTAGTTTCTTTTTCGGTGGGCCCGCGGTATCGTGATCAAATTTGGTGCGACGTGGTCTCGATGGATGCCTGTCATTTACTGTTGGGACGCCCGTGGCAATTCGATAGAGCAGCCACTCATGACGGTCGGCTCAACACTTATTCGTTCTCTTTGGAGGGAGTGAGGTCGTTTTGCAACCTTCTCTACTGCGCCCTTCTTCGACGTCAAGCCCGTCTTCTTCAGTCCTGACTCTTTCTCGGTCGGCGTTTTTGGCTGCGATGCGTGACTCCTCGATGGTGCTGTTGGTTGTGGGTCGCGAACTGTGGAGGACCAGTCGCCACCAGCGGCTATTCAACCTTTATTGGCTAAGTTTGAGGATGCTTTCCCTTCTGAGATTCCTTCAGGATTGCCACCTCTTCGCGACATTCAGCACCACATTGATCTGGTCCCAGGGACGTCTCTTCCCAATCGCCCTCTTTATCGCATGAGCCCGACTGAGCACGAGGAACTGAGGCGCCAGGTCGAGGAGCTTCTTCAATGGGGCGTGGTTCGTAAGAGTATGAGCCCTTGTGCGGTCCCGGCCCTTCTTATTCCAAAGAAGGACAACTCGTGGCGTATGTGTGTCGATAGCCGGGCCATTAACAAGATTACTGTCCGGTACCGTTTCCCAATCCCACAATTGGACGATTTACTGGACCAGCTTCATGGGGCGTCGGTTTTCACCAAGTTGGATCTCCGTAGCGGCTATCATCACATTCGTATTCGCCCAGGTGACGAGTGGAAGACAGCTTTCAAGATTCGTGAGGGGTTATTCGAGTGGCTGGTGATGCCATTCGGCTTGTCAAACGCGCCTAGCACATTCATGCGAGTGATGAACCAGTCTCTTCGGGAGTTTATCGGCCAGTGTGTTGTCGTTTATTTCGACGACATTCTTATATATAGTCGATCGGTCGAAGAGCATCTCCAGCATGTACGGTCGGTTTTACTGGTTCTGCGGGCTGAAGCGTTCTTTGCTGCTCCTCGTAAGTGTTGTTTTATGGTGTCTTCTGTTTTGTTTTTGGGCTTTGTGATTTCGGCTGAGGGTATTCGAGTTGATGATAGCAAAGTGGCCGCTATTCGTGACTGGCCTACCCCGACTACGTTTACTGAGGCTCGTAGTTTTCACGGCCTTGCCTCATTCTATCGACGCTTTATTTCCCACTTCA